TCAGCCCCTCATCACCTCAGCCCCCATCATTTCACCTTCTAGCACCTCATTCTCCATCTCATTAGACCCCATCACCTCAGTTCCCATTACTTCAGTTCTCCAACTCTTCAGTTCCCTATCACCTCAGCCCCTATCACCTCAGCCCTCAAGTTAGTCCTCATCACCTCAGCCCTCTTCACCTCAGCCCCCAACAACTCTGCCCCATCACCTCAGCCTTCATCACCTCAGCCCTCATCACCTCAGCCCTCATGTCCTTCCAGGAGCATCTGGGCACTGAGTTCCGGGCTCCTGCTGTGGGGTTTCCAGCCCATCAGTGTACAGCCCCACTGGGGCTTCTGGTGAGGAGGCTTGGTTTGGGCAGAGGCCAGCGGCCTGGAGTCCCCATGAGCCCTTCCTCCCAAACAGAGGATCTCTGATCCAGGGGCTAGTGCCCAGTCTTGAAAATCCCTACAGATGAGGCAGTGGTGGCTCGTCAGGCTGCCTGGAGGAGGGGGCTGCCATGTGAGCGGCTGCCAAGGTTCCGAGGCCAGTGCCATTGGGTGTGGCCCTGGGAGGCTCCCTGAGGTGCAGATGAGGGAGGCTTCAGGAGGGAGAGCTGGATGGGGTGTGGTGACCGCCGGGCTCCCTTGAGCCCAGGGTGCTCTTCAGACCCAGAACAAGCCCTTTGAAGAATAAAGACAAGGGGTTGAGCGACAGCACAGCGGGGAGGGCGTTGGCCTTGCACGCAGCCGACCCGGGTTCGATTCCCATAAGGTCCCCCGAGCACCGCCAGGAGTAATTCCCGAGTGCATGAGCCAGGAGGAACCCCTGAGCATCGCCGGGTGTGACCCAAAACAAAAAAGGTAAAATAATAATAATAATAAAGACAAATATTCATGTATTGCGCCCTGTGTTTAGGGTTTAGTTTTCTCTGGGCTAAAAGTTCAGCACATGGGGACCCCCCCCAGCATCGTGCCGGGTCGGGGACTGAGGCCGGTGCCAAGTCAGGCCCGTGCCACGCAACAGGCAGTGGCATCAGATGGTTCTGGAATTAGTCTCACTTGCGGCTGCGCCAGGCCAGCCATGCCCAGGCAGTGTGTGTGTGTGTGTGTGTGTGTGTGTGTGTGTGTGTGTATGCGGTGTGTGTGTGCAGTGGGGGATACCCCAGGGCCCCTGTGCCCGGGTACAGTGGGCGCAAGAATGACACCTTGCCTGAGTCCTGGGTGGGCTCAGGGGGCCGGGGCCAGCTCACCGCGGGCCGACTCGGCTCCCAGCCCCTCCACTCAGGAGCTGGAGTGAGGAGCAGCAGGTGGGCGTGACATGAGGCTCCAGCAACCTCCTTCCAGCACCTTCTGCGCCCCTGCACTGCCTAGTGTCCCCAGAGGCCACGCCCTGCTTGGCCCCAGCACAACGCAGACCCCAGAGGGGCACAGTGCTAGGTTGAGGGTCGCGGGGTGGGGGGGGGATGTAGCCCCTGGAGCAGCCGGGCTGGTCCCCAGGGGTCCCGCCCAGCCCTGCCTGTCCTGCGCCACCTACCCGGACACCAATGTGGCACTTAGAGACGTTGGGTCGCTGGGTCTTAGAGGAGTAATATCGAGTGTCCGTACCCAGAGGCAAGAGAGACACTTCGACGCAATGTGACAATAGCAGTTAACCAGGTTCTTTGCACAGGGTGGGCCGGGGCATGGCCAGGGTCCCCCCCCAACCCGAGGACCTGGATTCAAACCCTGGTGGGCTCTGGACCCCTGTGTCCGCGATCTCCGTGTCTCTAGATAAGGGGACCCGAGCTGATGTGGGGCGCCCTGGGGGGAGGGGTGCCTGTGGAGGGGCGGGGGGGGGGAGGTGTCGCCGGGTGGGGCTCTCCCGGTGGGACCCCAGGGGCCGGGGGAGGGCAGCAGAGGGCGCCGTCCAGCAGAGGGCGCCGCTGAGCTCGCCCTGGGGCAGGGCCCGGGAGGCTGGGGCGGGCGCTGGAGGCCGCAGCTGAACCCTGGCCAAGAACTCAGCCGGCTGGGCAGCCCGGCCGGGCCTTCTTTCCTCATTCCTCGCCCTGTGGGAGTCGCCGGGGCCGTTCTGCCGTAGCCACCGCCGGGATCTGCTTACCGTCTCGCGGGGAACGGGGCCTCCTGCCAAGTGCCAGGCCCCAGGGGTGCCGCCTGACCCTCAGCCTGCTCTGGGCTGCGCTGGGCCCCGTGGGGGAAACTGAGGCCTCGCTGTGTCGGGAAGGGCTGGCGGGACCCTCAGCTCATGGCCCGCACCGGCTTCTTCCTCTCTGCGCCCCCCCCCCCACCTCCTGGCTGAGTCCCGCCGGGTGGCCCCGCGTGGGGCTCTGGCTCGGGGGCCAGGCTCCTCGTACCCAGCCCGCGGACAGGGGCTGTTTGATCAGCAGCTCCCCGATGCCAGGCCCGGGGACATCGGGGCAGCGGCCAAACCGGCCAGGCTGCATGCCTGCCGGCCCTCGGCAGGAATGCTAGACGTCCGTCCCCCGTGCTCCGTGCTCCGTGCGCGGGTGCGGGGGGCCGGGAACCCTCCGTGCAGGCAGGGCCCGAGGGGCGCCCACTGCAGCCAAGCAGGTATCACGTCCCTGTGGGCAGCCCCCATTGACCCCTGTGTCCCGTCCAGCCCCGGCCTTGGGGCCTGTGCTGAGACAAGGGGACGGGTGTGTCCCACGACACACACACACGCACGCGCGCGCGCACACGCACACACACACACACACGCATGCACGCACACACCAGTTGATTTCACCTTTATTGAGTCCGAGCTCCCCGCCGTAGAAGGCAGACAGCCTGTCAGAACCCCCACGGACCCCCAGACACGGGGACCCCGCTCTGCCTGGCCACGGGGAGGGGGGTGGGCGTGGGGAGCCCGGGGGACGAGGCGCGGGGCTCCGTGGCGTCGGGGGCGGGGAGCCCCCCCCAGGGTCAGTTTCAAGCTGAAGGAGGAGCCGGCTTGGGGACAGAGCGGCCGTCCCCTCCAGCACCCAGTGTACGTCACAATAATTTAAGAGACAATATAGACATTTCAACGCTATATAACAATATAAGTTAACCGGATTCTGTGCCGAGGGCCGGGCCAGGGACGGGAGGGAGGGGGCAGGGACCAGGTGGGGTGCAGCCCCCAAGCCCGGAAGTGCCTGGACAGCAGCTGTGGGGGCCCCTGAGCTGCGGGCTCACACTGGGCCCAAGAGGGTCACACATCTCCAGCCAGTCCCCAGGACACACACAGGTTCTCGGGCTTCTTGCGAGGGAACTCGTCCACCTCGCGTGGGCGGGGGGGCCTGGGCAGTGGTGAGGCCTGGGCTGTGGCAGCCCCGGGTGGGTGGTCCCCGTCATGCCTCTGTTCTACAGGTCTCCCACAGAGAGCCGGTCAGCCCCGGGTCCAGAGGGTCCCACACGGGGCGCCGGATGGAGGGGACCCCTGCCCCATTCCCATCCCCCCTGGTTTGGGGCCGGGGAGGTCGGGAGGGTTCGTGGAGGGTGGGAGCCTGGGAGACGGGCCACGGAGGTCCTTGTGTGGGCGTTTTCTCCCCATCACGCTCAGGGGTCGAAGGTCACCACTGTGGGAAGCCTTGAAGGCAGCTGGGGGGAAGGGTTCAGAGGGAGGGGTGCAGCTGGGAGTGTTTGAGGCATGGGGTGTCCAGGGCGCGTCTTTCACGGTCAGGCCACCTGAGCCGGGGGCCTTACTTGGGGTCAGTGTCCCCATCTGAGTGACCCCCTGCTGGGGGCTCTGTAAACAAGGGTGCTGGTGGGGAGGGCCGGACAGGCCACACCTGTCGGGGCCAGGAGGGGTTGGGGGGCAGTCTGCGTGCCCCTGAGGGGGGGAGTGAGTCCGTGTCAGCCTCCAGGCCCCCGCCAGGCTCCCTGGGGACCCCTGAGGCAGGGCCAGAGGGCGGCTGGCCCGGGGTGCTGCAGGGTTCGAGGCGAGGTCTGGGAAGGGGGCCTGCTGCCTGCTCTGGAGCTAGACCCGGCTGCACCTTAGTGCTGAGAACCTCTCGGAGACGAAGAAAACATAAATAAGTCGCCAAGGCCAGCCTGACCGCCCCAGGGCGCTCGCGGGGGTGGCCCGCTCAGCAGTCTGGCCTGGGGGCTGCCCAGCCCTTCTGTGTCCAAGCCCCCGGGGGGAAGGGGGAACAGGAGGCACACAGTCTGCTCCCCACGTGGCCTCTGGGGGCTGTGTGCCGTAAGTGAGGGTCACTCGCAGGGGCACCCGCGGGGGCCACCAATGTCTCTGGCTGCATGACGGGCTCTGTCCTGCCCCCAGGAGGAGATGGAAAGGGAGGGCCTGAGGGAAGCGTGGAAGTGGCGGGCGGGCCTGGGGGCTCCTTCCCACCCCCCACCTCCGCGGGACCACCCCTGCCCTGGGCAGCGGGTCCAGGGCCCACAGGATGTGCAAATCAGCCTGGGCAGGGCTGCGTGGGGCGGGGCTACATCCGCAGGGGCGGGGCTACACCCTATGGGGCGGAGCCGTGCCCTGTGGGGCGGAGCTATGCCCTGTGGGGCGGGGCTGCACCCAAAGGGGCGTGGCTACACGCTTTGGGGCGGAGCTGTGCCCTGTGGGGTGGGGTGGGGCTACACCCTTTGGGCGGAGCTATGCCCTGTGGGGCGGGGCTGCACCCGGAGGGGAGGGGCTACACCCGGAGGGGTGGGGCTACACCCTTTGGGGCGGAGCCGTGCCCTGTGGGGCGGAGCCAAGCCCTGTGGGGCGGAGCTATGCCCTGTGGGGCGGAGCCGTGCCTTGTGGGGCGGGGCCGAGCCCTGTGGGGCGAGGCTGCACCCGGAGGGGCGGGGCTACACCCGGAGGGGAGGGGCTACACCCGGAGGGGTGGGGCTACACCCTTTGGGGCGGAGCCGTGCCCTGTGGGGCGGAGCCAAGCCCTGTGGGGCGGAGCCGAGCCCTGTGGGGCGAGGCTGCACCCGGAGGGGCGGGGCTACACCCAGAGGGGTGGGGCTATGCCCTGCGGGGCGGGCGGAGCTGCACCAAAGGGGCGGAGCTCTGCCCGGTGGGAGGGGCTGTGCCCCCGTGGGGCGGGGCTGAACCCTGAGGGGCGGGGCGGGCGGAGCTGGGGCCGCAGCAGGAGGGACCGGCGCCGGGCGGGCGGGCGCGCTCACTTGCACGTGTAGACCTCGGTGCGCTCGCTGCACGTGTTGCACTTGACGAAGCAGCACCAGTGGAACTTGCAGTTGCACTGCCAGACCTTGGTGTACTGGTGCGTGTTGTAGCCGCGGCCGCAGCACATGGTGTCGCAGCCGTCGGCGCCGGGCGAGGTGCGGTTGCACAGGCGGCCCTGCGTGCCCACGCTGCCCGTGGCCGCGTCCTCCTCGCAGTAGTTGGGCGACTTCTCGATGTACACCAGGTCTGTCTCCATGGGCTTCTGGTAGCTGCGCAGCTGCTTGATGCGGAGGAAGGTGGGCTGCCGCAGGCGGCTGGCGCGCACCACCTCCACCTGCACGGCCGCGTTGTACTTCTCCTTGAGCAGGTGGCCCACCTCCCGGAACTTGGGCAGCGTGGTCCAGCACGTCTTGGTGGTGCAAGAGCCCGACACGCCGTGGCACTTACACTCCAGCTTCATGCGCTCCTCCAGCACCTGGGGGGGCGGGCGCAGGGCGTCAGGAGGGCGAAGCCCCTTCTCCCCCCGGCCGTGCCCCCGCTCAGCTCCCAGGAGGGCTGCGCGGAGCCCTCACCCACGCGGTTTCCCTGAGCACAGCCGCACCGTGCAGGGAGCTGCGGGTCCACGCGCCTGGGAAGCTGAGGCTGGGGGAGCCAGCTCACAGGGCCCCGGCCTGGGCGACAGGCGGGCCTTGAGGAGTGTGGGTGCCCCCGCTCCCCTCTCGGCTGCTGCCGGTCCTCGAAGCGGAGTTGGCGACTGACTGGGCCCAGGGCGCCTGGAGCCCAGGACGGGCGTGGGGTGCGGGGCGCGAGGGAGGGGCCGCGCTAGGCCAGGCGGGAGCACCCTGCCCCCACCGCCACCCTGCCGCCTTCCTTCCTCCGGCTGGGACCCGTCGGGGAGCGTCCCGTGTTTTCCCCGGAAGGCGGTTCCCAGAGCCAGCCCTGACCCCAGGTACTCATTTACCCGGATCGAAAGGGGCCTGCCAGCCGGCCTGATGAGAGATGGGGAATCATTAGCTGCCGCCGCCCGCGCGCGCGGAGGGGCCGTTTGTCAGCTGTCTGGGTCCCTGCCGCCGCTCCCTGCGCCCCGGCCGACCGCGGCGAGCACCCGAAGCAGCCCGCGAGAGCCCGGCAGGCGCCGCTGCCCCTGCCCGGAGCCCTCGGGAGGGCCAGAAAAGCACCAATTGCACGTGCTGCAGAGCCCAGGAGCACCGCAGTGCGGGGCTTCCTGGAGGAGGAGGCGTGCGGAGAGCCCCTGGGTCAGAGGCTCAAGGGACAAAGAGGTGGGGCACAGTCACCTCCACTTCAAGGACTATTCGGCACATCTGAGCGTGGCGTGGCTGTGGGGGCGGGGCCTGGCTGACGGCGGGGCGGGGCCTGATTTGGGGGCGGGGCCTGGCTGTAGGGGGTCTGGTTGTGGGGCTGGGTCTGGCTGCGGGGGCGGGGCCTGGCTGTGGGGGGAGGAGCCTTCTGTGGGGGCGGGGCCTAACGGCTGGGCGGGGCCTGGCTGTGGGGCGGGGCCTGGTTGTAGGGCGGGGCCTGGTTGTGGGGGCGGAGGTTGTGGGGGCGGAGCCTTCTGTGGGGGCGGGGCCTAACGGCTGGGCGGGGCCTGGCTGTGGGGGCAGAGGTTGTGGGGGCGGAGCCTTTTGTGGGGGCGGGGCCTAATGGCTGGGCGGGGCCTGGCTGTGGGGACTGGGCCTGGCTGTGGGGCGGGGCCTGGTTGTAGGGCGGGACCTAGTTGGTTGTGGGGTGGGGCCTGGTTGTGGGGCGGGGCCTGTGTGCAGGGTGCCTGGCTGTGGGGGCGGGGCCTGGCTGTAGGGGGTCTGGTTGTGGGGCTGGGTCTGGCTGCGGGGGCGGGGCCTGTCTGTGGGGGCGGGGCCTGGCTGTGGGGGCCTGATTGTGGGGCTGGGTCTGGCTGCGGGGGCGGGGCCTGGCTGTGGGGGCGGAGGTTGTGGGGGCGGAGCCTTTTGTGGGGGCGGGGCCTAATGGCTGGGCGGGGCCTGGCTGTGGGGACTGGGCCTGGCTGTGGGGCGGGGCCTGGTTGTAGGGCGGGGCCTAGTTGGTTGTGGGGCGGGGCCTGGTTGTGGGGCGGGGCCTGTGTGCAGGGTGCCTGGCTGTGGGGGGTCTGGTTGTGGGGCTGGGTCTGGCTGCGGGGGCGGGGCCTGGCTGTGGGGGCGGGGCCTAACGGCTGGGCGGGGCCTGTCTGTGCAGGGTGCCTGGCTGTGGGGGCGGGGGCTAACAGCTGGGCGGGGCCTGGCTGTGGGGCGGGGCCTGGTTATGGGGGCGGGGCTCTACTCCCTTGTGGATGTTTATTTTGGGGGTCGGGCCCGGAGGAAGACGAAGATGCTCTGAGTTTTGGGGAACACTGGACCGGGCCTGGCGTTTTCCCGACCTAGCGGGCTGTGGAGTGTCTGGGCAAAAGGCCTCCGAGTGACCCCCAGGGGGAAGCATTTCTGGGCCTCCCACCGGCCAGCCCTGTCCATCCGGTCACCTTCCCTGCCCCTCCGTGGGAATCTCTGCAAAGCCCTGCGCTTAGGGCCCGGTCCCAAGACACCTCACGCGCCCCAGGCTCGGGTGGGCTTGGCCAGGCACGAAGCCTGCAGGTGGCGGGAGGGGCATCCAGGCTCCAGTGCCCGTCTCTGCCACTCTGCCGGCCCTGCCGACCCCGCGGCAGCTGGCAGGGACCACCCTAGCTGTGAGCGCAGCTTTCGGGACCCTGCTTGCCTGGCGCCACCACCCCCGCTGCCCAGACATCACCGGGAGATGCAGAGAGCATCTGACCGCAAGGACCCGAGGGGCAGGGACTCTAAGAACAGTGCTCAGCAGAGGAAGGGTTGGTGCAGAGGGAAGCCCACGGGCGCTGGAGTGCAGTGCTAGGCCCCTGTGCCCGCTACGCTCCTCACCCACCAGCTGGGACCAGCCTGGGCAGCGAGCAGCCCCTGCCCACAGCACTGACCTCCAGACCCTCGGTGGAAGGCCCGTTCCCTGGGGAAGGGTCATCTGCGTCCCCCTCTGCCGGGAGCCACGGGCCCTGGGCCAGCGGGGCATGGGACTGGGGCCCTCTCGGGGGGAAATAGGGCTTAGTAGCCACGGGCTGGAGGAGGTAGCAGGTGTCCATGGGCTGGGGGGGGACAGTGGGTCTCCTGTGAGCAACCACCAGGACAAGGGCCAGGGACAGTTCTGCCTCTGGCCGGCTGTGGGTCCTCCCGTCCCCAGCGACCCCGTGAGACTAGATCAGACTCTCGGCGGCTCTGGGCCCCTCCCCCACCCCAGTGCCCATCCCTCCCCGGGCTCTCCTGCCCCTCTGTATGGCGGGAGCCCACCCCGGGGCCCCGAGCCTCCTGGGGCAGAGAACACAATTCCGATGGCAGAGTCCCTGGGATCGCGGCGCCCCCACTGCACCCGAGCGGGGGCCCGGCCGCCGCGTTCCGCTCAGCTGGCCGCACTATCTCGGACCATCTCGCCGCCACGCCGCCCGCCCGGCCCGTATCTGGGCCTCATCTCCCGGCAGGAAGGGGCCGGGCCGGCCCAGGAGGGCTCAGGCTTGTTCCCAGGGGCTCCTGCACCCCACCAGCTGCCCCCCCCAGGGCCTCTCAGGCCGCTCCTGCCTCTGGGAATGCCTCTTCCTCCAGTCTCTCTGGCACCCGAGCCCAAGGCCGCCTTCTCCTCCTCCTCCTCCTCCTCCTCCTCCTCCGGGAAGCCTCTGCAGATCTGCCAACTCAGATGGAGGAGGACCTGGACAGTGCCCGGGGACCTTCTCCCCCCCCACCGTGAGCTGGAGACACAGATCCGTCCGTCCGTCCGTCCCTGGTCTCAGTTCCCGCTTTCTGGGACGGGCGTGGCGAGGCTGGGCTCTGGGAACTGCGTCCGAGTGTCACCAGCTTCCGCCAGAGGCCAAGGCCCCGGGGCTGGACAGCAGGGGACGCGGTGCCCACCGGAGTGCCCGCCACCCACACCCACGGCACACCCACCTGTGCCCACTGGCCCCTGCCCTCTGCCGCCCCCGGTCCCTGCCCCGGCCCGTGCCCACCTTCCTGCCGGCCTCGTTGTTGTGCAGGTTCATGAGGCGTCGCGCGTTCTTCTTGATCTCGCGGGCGTCCACGAAGCGGCGGGAGAAGTCGATGCCGTAGCGCACGTCGGCCGAGCAGCCGCCCCACTTCCAGCCCTCCGCCTGGTTGTAGTAGCCCTGCTTCTCGCGGTCACAGCCGCAGTTGCTGAGGTTGCCCTGGCTGCAGGCGGCCGTGACGGCGTGGGCCACCCCCGCGGCCGTGATGGCGTACGTGAAGGCCGCCTCGCGGCTCCCTGCGGGCGGGACCGGGGTGAGGCGGGAGCCCACGCACGCCCGGGGCAGACCCCCGCCCCCCGCCCGCCCGAGAGCCGCGCCCGGACACGGCCACCCGCCCCGCCCCGCTCTCCCGGCCGGCGGCCACAGGCCACGCCGCTGCCCGTGCCCATGTCCGTGCTGAATCCCACACCCCTGCCCATGTGCTCGCCCACGGCCACGGCCCCCGCCGCTGCCTGCGTCCACGCCAGCCCCAGCCCACAGCCCATGGCCGGCGCCCCCCCCACCCTTCACCCGCCCCCGGGGCCTCGGGGCTCCCCCGCCCAGGCGGGCAGGGAGGACCCAGGAACCACAGGAGAGACGTAGTCAGTCGCGGGGAGCCCGGGGAAGGAGAGACCTTCTCAGGAGAGAGGGGCAGGGGGCGGCCCGGACACAGCGGCCCAACCTGTCTCTTGGGCAGGTGGAGTCAGGGAAGGCATCCTGGAGGAGTGACACCTTCTAGAGTGTCTTAACAAGAAGTGGGAATTAACTTCTTGACAATGCATGAGATGTGTGTGTGTGTGTGTGTGTGTGTGTGTGTGTGCGCGCACGTGTATGTGTGCATGGGCACATTTGTGTGTCTAGTATGCTGTGTTGTATGTGTGTGGGGTATGTGGTGTGTGTGTGTGTGTGATGGTGTGGCATGCATGACACCTGGCACACAACCTATGTGGACCGGTGTGTTTACATGTTAGTATGATATAGTCATGTGACCAGAGTGTGTCTCTGTGTGTGTTTGGGGTTTTTTGGTTTTGGTTTTGTTTCGTTTTATTTTTGGGGTCACACTTGGTGGTGCTCAAGGGTCAATCCTGGCTCTGCACTCAGGAGTCACTCCTGGCGGTGCCCGGGGGACCCTACGGGACGCTGGGGATCAAACCTGGATTGGCCGCATCCAAGGAAAACGCCCTCCCCGCTGTGCTGTCGCTCTGGCTCCGTGTCTGGGTATGTCTGTGCATCAACATGTGGAGTACGTGGTCTGTTACACGTGTGCTGTGTGTCTGTGTTCATGTGGGGTGTGTCTAATGTGTATGCTTGTGCTTGTGACATGCATAGTGTGAGGGCTGGGGTTCCGATGATGCATTGTGGCATGTGACGTGTATATGGTGTGTGTGGTGTGTGTGTGACATATTGTGAGGTGGGTATATACATTGTGGTGTGTGGTTTGTGCACACGTGGTATGTGTGTGTGTGTATGGGTACGAACATGCGGCATTGTGTGGTCTCTTACTGTGGTGCGTGTATACATGGTGTGTGTAGCATGTGTGTAGCATGTGGTGTGTATGTGTGTAGTGTGGGTGCGTGTGGTGGGTGGTGTGTGTATGTTGCAGTGCGTACTTGTATGGTGTGTGCACGTGCGTGGCGTGTGAACCTGTGCAGGTGTGCTGTGTGTACGTGTGTGGCATGTGTGCCTGTGTGTAGGTGTGTGGCATGTGTGCCTGTGTGTACGTGTGTGGTGTGTATTGTACATGCACGTGTACATGCACGTGCATGACTACGTAGGGTGGGCGGTGCGTGTCCGTGGCGTGTGCTGGGGTGCAGGGGTGAGGGTCAGGAGGAGCGAGCAGCGGGGAGGGGCCCCGGGAGCCCTTGAGCTGAGGTGCTGCAGGACAAGGGCACAGACAGTGGCCGCGCTCACTTGGTGGACAAGGCCGCTTCCGGAACATTCCGGAAGCCGCCACAGAGTGGGGCCCACCCTCGCCCGTCAGGCCAGGCCTGGCCCTGTCCTGAAGGCGACCCCACAGCCGTTGGCCCTGCCCCCCACCGAGGGGACTGGGGGCTCTGCAGAGGCTGTGGGGTCAGGGTGGCGCCTGGGCCTCCCCCTAGAGCCCCTGAGCCGGGCAGGCGCCAACCAGGCTGGTCCCGGAGAACAGCCCCGGAAAGCCCCCCACCCCGGCCCTGGGGGCTGTGCCGATTCTCCTGCCCACCCGTGCCCACCACAGCTCTGCCGGGCCAGTGGTCTTGGAGGGCGACAACGAGCCGGGAGGGGGGCCGGCAGGGGGGAGAGCCAGCACGGACAGAGTCTGACGGCTGCTGTGTGGCCCCGGGCCCGTCACCAACCCTCTCTGAGCTCGGCTCCAGCCCTAACAGCACCAGGACCAGTAGCCAATGGGGCAGGGGACACAGGGACACAGGGAGGCACCTGGGCATCCCGGCTGATCCATGCCTCCTCCCGGGGTGGCCGCTCAGTCCTGCCCAGCGGCCCCTCCAGTGCATTCTAGAAAATTCCAGAGCCCTGAAGATGGAGGACGGGGGGAACTCCTTTCCTAGAGACAATTCTAGCACAGCCCCCACTGACCCTGCTGGCCACCAGACTCAGGGGTTGGCAAATGTGCCCGCGGCAATGCCAGCAGATAAGGGGGCTGGGGAGCTGCGCCCAGCCTGTCCCCACCCCAGCCTGTCCCTGCAGGCCACCTGTGCTTCTCCCCAGCTGGCCCCCGGGTGCTCACGGGCGCAGCACGGACCTGAGCGTGGCCCTCACAGAAGCGCTTTCCCGCCACAGGGCCTGGGCGTGTGATGGTGGGTCCCTGGCAGAGCGTCCTTCAGTCAGTGGGGACCCTCGCCGCGGCCGCGGTGTCCGTTCCTGCCCCTCCCGTGACACAGCCCTGGGGCCCCGGTCACCCACCCCAGCACTGGGACCACGGACCAGAGGGACAAAGAGATCTGTGGGCTGGGCTGTGTGCACATGGGCACATGTCTGCTCACAGGAGTGTGCGGTGTGCACGCGTGTACCTATGTGTACTTGACGGTGTGTAATAACGTGCCGTGTTGCAGTGTGATGTGCATCTGGACACAAGTGTGCAGTGGTGATGCATGCCTGCACATGCATGTTTTTGTGCAATGTGCACAGTAGCACATGTGGTGTGCACACGTGTGCATATAGTCTTACATGTGCATGCATGTGCCTAAGGGTGTTCACACAACCGTGTTATGTTGTAGTGTGTGATGCATGCCTGTTCAGGTGTGTGACACACATGTCATGCTTGTTTGCAGTGTGATGTGGGGTCTGTGCCCATGTGTGCAGTGTGTGACGTGGTGTCCGTGCCTGCATGTGCGGTTTGTGACATGTGTGTTTGTGCCATGTGTGCAGTGTGGGACATGGTGTCCATGCCTGTGTGTGACGTAATGTGACACGGTGTCCATGCCCACGTGTGTAACATGCATGTTCGTGCCCATGTGTGCAGTGTGTGACGTGGTGGCCCTGCCCATGAGTGTGGTGTGTGATGCACATGCGTGTGCCCACCAGCACTGTCCTGTGCCCCTCTCAGGCCCCTGCTGCCCTCTCCGTGGGTCCCTCGGTCCGTCCCGCCCTGCCCGGCCCCCTCCCCCACCGGCTGCGGCTGAGTCAGTGTCTCCGCATTAAGCTCTTCGCTGCCGTTGTCATAAACAGACTCTGGAAAAAGTCCCGCCAGGCCCCAACACGCCGGCACGCCCGCGCCCCGGGCCTTTGTTCTGACCCAGCAGAGCCCTCACAGCTTCACCGAGCCCGCGGGCGCGCCCAGGGTGGGCAGAGCTGGCACGGGGGCCCGGGGCCCGTGGTGCTCGAGGGGGGGGGGGGACACCGATGCCCGCACCTCTCCGTGAAGAAGGGCAGCGGGCGGGCAGCGGGCCCTCCTCCACGCGTGGCCCTAGCTCAGAGCCTGGCCACCTCCCGGCCCCCGGTGAAGCGCCCCTCCAGAGACCACTGGGAACCTTCCTTCTGGGGTGTCCACAGCAGACCCGCCTCCGTGGCCGCCACACACCCGAGTCCACCACACACTGGGGGTGCTCTGCCCCAGGGGGTCTTTGGGACCCTGACCTTGAGGGTCACCGCTGTCCCCCATGTCCTGGCTGCCTGGCCCATGTGTGTGTGGGGAAGTTGGGGGCAGCCAGGACAAAGGGTGCCGCCCTGGGACCAGGTTCTGCAGGGCAGAAGGACACACCCAAGGTCAGGGACATGTGCTGCCTCAGCTCTCCCAGCACATCCGGGGCACAGGGGTCCTGAGCAAGGCCCAGGATGGCACACAGCTCACAAGCCTGCAGACCAGTAACGCGGCCCCACCCTGGCACCACCCACCCAAGCCCCGCCCACTAGGAAAAGCAGCTCGGAATGCCCCGCCCACCCAAGCCCCGCCCACAGGAAAGGCAGCTTGGGGATGTCCCGCCCACCCATGCTCGGCCCACTAGGAAAGGCCGCTATGAGATGCCCCGCCCACCCATGCCCCGCCCACTAGAAGCAACTTGTGGGATGCCCCGCCCACCATGCCCCGCCCACGAGGAAAGGCTGCCTTGAGATGCCCCGCCCACCCATGCCCCACCCATTAGGAAAGGCAGCTTGTGGGACGCCCCGCCCACCCATGCCCCGCCCACTAGGAAAGGCAGCCTTGCGATGCCCCGCCCACCCATGCCCCGCCCACTAAAGCAGCTTGATGCTCCGCCCACCCCGTGCTCCGCCCACAGGAAAGGCTGCTGCGAGATGCCCCGCCCACCCCGCTGGACCAGAAGGACAGTCAGCTCTGGATTCTGTGTCCACTCTGCTCCGCCCAGGGTGACACTGGCCCTGCCCCTCAGAGGAGGTCACCTGGGACCCTCATCCTCACTCCCCAGGCACTGGGGGGAAACGGCCTTTATGCTGCGGTCGCGTGTCCTGGGGCCCGCAGAGCCAGCAGGACCGTCTCCACTGCCCAGGTGTGGGACAGCGCCCCTTTTCCACCCCCCGCACCACGTGGTCGCCCAACGGGCTGGAGTGACCCTCGTCCAAACACTAGACTGAAAAAAAATGTTTGCTCACTTTCCCCTCCGTGTCCTCACAAGTCTCCTGTTTCGGGGGGCTCTCCTGGGGCTCTGCAGCAGACCCTCGGTGTGGACGGGCTGGCCGGGAGGCCTGGTCCTGCCCCCAGGGACCGACCCGCCACGAAGGCCCGTCTCCAGAGCAGGACACGGCCTGGGGAAGCCCTCGGAGGGCCGTCAGGGCACAGGACTGGCGCTGCCCCCCAAGGTCAGGGCTGCAGCCCCGCCTCTCGGGCACCTGAAGGTTAGCCCCAGGTGGACCTGCCCGGGGCCCTTCTGAGTCGGCCTGCGTGAGGGCGGGAGAGAGACAGCGTCTGGCCCCGCATGATTAGGGCCGTCCCTATGCCTGGTCATGTCCACGGTGGCACATGATGGGGACTCAGCGTTCCATAGCCGCTCGGCAGGGGTGGGGCCGGGGCACCGGGGCAGGGGTCCCAGGGACTCCGGGCTGGGCAGGGGGCAGGGATTGGCTCCGGGCACAAGGGGGCGGGGCTCAGAACCTTCCAGGCCTTTAGGGTTCCAGCCCCTGCACCTCCCACCCTGGGCTTTGTCGCCTGCGCTCCCGGATTCCCCAGGGAACGCCCTCGACCTGTGCCCGCACGGTTCTGCCCCCGCTCGCTTCTGAGCCCGCTGGCTGTTGGGGGGTCCCTACGGTGGACCCCAGTCTGTCAGCCGTGCCTGGTCTCTCTGGGGACGGAGCCCCAGAACACGGGGCTCACCGCCTGCCCCCGTGGCAGGAGCGTGGGGACACATTCAAGCCCAAACGAAGTTCAGTTCCTGTTAGTGGAAGAGACGGGTCAGGGCGGGCAGGGGCCGTGAGCCACCCAGAGACAGGAAACAGGCCCGGGCGGTGTGTGTGTGTGTGTGTGTGTGTGTGTGTGTGTGTGTGTGTGCGCACGCGTGTGTGTGTATGTGTGCATGTGTGTATGTGTGTGCATATGTGTGCGTGAGTGTATGTATGTGTGAGTGTGTGTGCACGTGCGTGCGTGTGTGAGTGTGTGCGTGTGTGCATGCGTGAGTGTGTGCATGTGTGTATGTGTGTGTGTGCATCTGTATATGTGTGTGCGTGTGTGTATGCGTGTGCGTGTGTGCGTGAGTGCGCATGTGTGTGTCTGTATGTGTCTGAGTGTGTGTGTGTGCGTGCATGTGTGCGTGTCTGCATGTGTGTCTGCGTGTGTGTGAGTGTGTGTGTGCGTGTGTGTATGTGTGAGTATATGTGTATGTGTGTGTGCATGTGTGTGCGTGTGTGTGCGTGTGCATGTTTGCGTGTCTACATGTGTGTGCGTGTGTGTGGGTGTATGTGTGTGTGTGAGGGGGGCTCTCCACAGCTGTCAGGAGCGGCACCCCCTGGGTCAGCAGCTGCAGGGCACCGCAGCCGAGGTTGCCACCAGCAAGAGGCAGAGAGGAGAAAACTCCCTACCCAGGCAGCCGTGCCACAGCGCCAGGCAGGAAAGTCGTTGCCCCGGCGTGGGGCCGATGCGCTCTTGAAGGGACTCACTCTCCTGACCCAAGGCCCAAGGGACAGCGGGAAGGCACTGCCCCGCCCCCAGGACCCCAACTCTCAGGACCAATCATTAATCAGCACCTCTCGAAGCCGGCCCCGCCCCCGGGCCCCCTCAGGACGCCCAGCCGTAGGGGGCCCCGGGTGGGGGCCTCGGCCTGGCCCTCCCAGGAGGCAGAGTGCTGGAGAGTGGGGGGTGGCGGGGACAGCCGATGGGGCTAAAGTGGGGTGCCCCGGGCAGGGGACCACCAGAGCTGGAGAGGAGTGGGGACAGCTGGTCCCTGCGCCCGTGTCCTCGGGGAGGCTGACCTCCTCTGGGACAGGCCCGGCCGGCAGGAGGGAGGGGCAATGTCCAGCCCAGGAGGAGGGTCGGTGGGCCACTGCAGGTCCTGCGGGGCTCAGGGGGGAGGGGGCCCGGCAGCCTCGTGAATGCTTGACAGCGAGGGGGGCCTTAGGGGGCACTGAGGGCCCAGAGGCACCCCTCGAGGGAGGCCTGGCACCCCCCACTGCCCCGACCACCCACCACAGCCCTGCCACAGCTGCCCCCTCGCGGCTGACCCCTGGTGCAAAGAGACGGCCCAAGCCTGACAGCCCTCAGCTCCCTGCCTAGACTGGGCTGCCTTCCCTGGGCCTCAGTTTCCCTGCCAGGCAGTTCCGAGCTCCTGCTTCCCAGACTGGCGGCGGTGGTGGCGGCGTTGGGGAAAACGCCCGCCCGGAGCGGCAGAGGGCGGGGGCCGGGGGGGCCCCCAGCTGGCACCTGGGGGGGCGGGGCCTCTCCTGGGTGGTGGCCCCCGGGGAGGGGAGGTGCCCTGCTCCTGACTTGCCAGGTGCCACCCACAGGCTGCTCACCGCAAAGGGGCCCCCGGGGCTCCCCCGCCCCCCCCGCCCGCCGCCGCCGCGCCCGCGTTCCTGCCCTGCACAGTTCCCTCTGGCCTGGGGCCCGGCAGCTGTGGCCCAGCCCGTGCGCCTGGGACGGGAGGGAGGCGGCCGTGCCCGCACGCTGGGGGGCCGTGCCCACGTGCTGGGGTCCGGAGGCCCAGGGCACCCCGAGGAGTTATCGTGCTGCACATCTGACCCCACCGGGATCCCAAGGGGCAGGTCTCGGCACTGCTCCCACCCCCGGTGCCGCCCTGGAGCACGGGCCACCCGGCGCCAGGCCTCGGTCTCCCTCCGAGCAGAGGGGCCGGGAGCACCTGGTCCCGGCAGGGTCTGAAGTCGCCCCGTTCCATCGCCTCCTTCCTCCCTGCCAGCCTGGCACAGCCCCGGGGGCATGTTAGCCGGGAGCCCCCTCCCTGCCCACCCTGCCCTGCCCAGGGGGGCCGCAGCCCCCAGCCCCTGCCCCTCACAGAGTCCCTGCCCTTGGGTGGGCATGGACCCCTCGGCCTCCCCAACCCCAGTGAGTGGAGCCACCCGGCCCCCACAGCCGGGAACAGGAGCCCCGGTCTGAGCCTGCACCCCAGTCCCAAGCTCTGTGGCTGCCCACTGCACCCTCCTGCCTCTCCACCAGGCCACGGGCACTAGCAGGCCTTGGGTAGAGACGGGGCAGGGCCAGGGCGTAGGCCCGAGGGCAGGGCACCTGCCTGGCACGAGGCTGACCCGGGTTGGATCCTCGGCCACCCCAGAGGGTCCCCCGAGCCCGCCAGGAGTGACCCCTGAGCACAGAGTCGGGAGCAAGCAAGGGGAACGAGAGAGAGACAGCGACAGAGACAGACAGAGACAGAGACGGGTCAGCGGAGGCGGTGCCCGGCCCTTACCTACTCGGAGCTCTTGCCCGAAGACCGTCCTCTCGCCCAGCGCCGAGCAGTTCCAGCGCCCGAAACGGAACTGGTGCTGGCACTCGTCGATGCCCATCTGCGCGCCCTCCCCGATGACGATGATGGCGTCCGGCCGGCTCTGACAGATGGCGCGCTGCCGCGGGGCCAGGCCTGGGATCTTGTTGCAGATGATGTTGGCACCCAGGGCCACGACGGACGACAGCGCTCTGGGGGGAGGGGGCGGCCCAGTGAGGGGCAGCTCGTCCCCACCCGCCCGCCAGCCCCCGACACAGCGCCCGCTCCCCGGAGTCAGTCCCGGGGGGTGGCCAGGCCGCTCCTGAGCCCAGAGGCAGACTGGGGGGTGCCCCCTCCCAGACCCCCAGCTCCTGGGTCCCCCAGGGGACACCCATGGGACGGAGCTGCAAGACCCCCCGAGCACACACACACAGGAGCCCAGAGGGGAGCAGAAGCAGGGGGCACAGAGGGACCCCGGAACCGGCCCCCGCACCCCCGCGCGGAGCCTGGGAGTTCACAGTTCACGGCCCCCCTGGACGGGGGTCCGAGCGAGCTTATGGGGGTGGGGCCCCCGGCACCCCAGGGCCCAACCCCAGCCCCAAGGTGGCCCTTGTAAAGGGCGCGGCACCTTCGCCACTGCAGCCGAGGGCTCAGCAAGGCCAAGAAGACCCCCGCGGCCAGAGATGCCCAGACGGGCTGTGGACGCGGCTCTGTCACCTTTTCCCGTCACCCCTGCTCCCCTCTCCTCTCCCCTGTTCTATCTCCTTCTCTCTCCCTCTCTCCCTCCTTCCCTCCCTCTCTCTCCCTCTCTCCTTCTTTCTCTCTCTCAGCCTCAGTGGACACTAGTCAGTCTCCTCCCAGGGTTCCTGTGTCCAAGCTCTTCCATGTGACCCTCGGCCTCCAGTGCCCGGGGTAACGGCTGGACACGGTGCTGGGCAGCGGGGTCCTTTGTTTAGCTCGGGGTGAGAATGGCCACGAGGAAGCGGAATCACTGGCTCCCGGCCACTGGGCTTCCAGCAGCAAACTGGGCACTGGGCTGGAGCAAAGTCTGTGAGAGGCCCCGCCCGCCCCTCCCCCCCGTGGGTGTTTTCCCAGGGACAGTGTCCGTGTGGCCTGAGCCACAGCACGTGCTGCGGTGCCCAGGGCGGACACCCAATTCCCGGCCCGCCCGCCCGCCCGCTAATCTGCCCGGACCCCCCGGGTCCCCGCGGGCACAATGGGCAGCGGCGCCCGCTGGGGCCCGTGAAAGCGCGTCTGGGCTGGGAGCGGGCTGGAATCCGGGGAATTCAGCGCCGAGTAACCGTAGATGCTCAGAAAAACGAGCCGGGGAAGTGAGAAGGATGGGAACGGCGGGCGCCCCGGCGCGGCCCACTGCACCGCCCGGCCCGAGCCCCCGGCAGCCTCGGCAGCCTCGGCCGGGCGCGGGGACCCCCCCACCGGGGCAGGAGCTGGGGGGGGACCGGCGGGACTTGGAGTCGACCCTGAGGGCCGCGTGGCCCCCCCGCCCTGCACCCCGAGACCCCTGCACCCTGGCCGCTGCCACGAGGTGCCCCACCCCCTCCGCAGCTGGCCGCCCCTCCAGCCCCTGGCATGCCCGCCCTGGACGCCAGTGAGTCCTGGTCATTCGGGGCCCCTCACCCGGCAGCCAGGACCTGAGGCGCAGCCCCCGCCAAGCTGTGTCCTGGGTCCTTCCCGACGGGGTGAGGTGAAGGCGTGTGGGGGGCCACTCGGGACCCCCAAGGTTGCCTCCACTAAAAGGCAGCCCAGGGCCAGAGAACTGGTTCAGGTCGGTCAATACTCACGGGCCGAGAGCACACAAGAGGCCCTCAGTGCAATGACAACACCACAGGTGCCCCCGAGCACTGCCAGCTGGAGCACCAGCGACAGAGACACAGTGATGGAAGCACCGGCCATGAGACCACCACCGGTGGGAGCACCACTGATGGGAGCACCACCGATGGGAGCATCACCAACAGGAACATCACCGAGGATCACTACAAATGGGAGCACCGCCTACAGGAGCACCACTGATAGGTGCACTACTGATGGAGCATCAATGATAGTGATGGGAGCACCAATGATGGGCACATCACCTATGGGAGCATCATTGATGGGCGCACTACTGATGGGAGCACCACTGATGGGAACATTACTGGCAGGATCATTACTAAGGGAGCACCACCTGCGGGAGCACCATTGATGGGCGTGCTACTGATGGGTGCACCACCAATGGGAGCACCACCGATGGGCGCATCACTGACAGGGTCGTCGCGAACAGAAGCACCACAGGAGCATCACAGACAGGAGCACCACTGATGGGAGCACCACTGGTGGGAGCACCACTGACGGGAGCACCACCAATGACTCCAGCACTGCTGGGGGCCCCACAGACAGGAACTTCTCCAAGAGTGATTCCTCTGAAGAAATTTAAATACATTCCCACTCCCAAATATAAAAAAGATGGTCCAGGCAAAGGACTGGCTGGGCGGTTCTTTCCGGAAGCGGCCCCCAGCGCCCATGGGTGGGGGGTGGTCCCACAGCTCAGCCCACTCACTCTGGGGAAGGCAAGTCAGACGTGCCCACCCGCGGCAGGCACGCAGGGGCCGGGCATCCTGGGAGGGGCTGCTGGCGGCAGCAGCTGAGTGGTCCCTGCAGGTGAGGACCCAGGAGGGTCCCCGAGGCTGTAAGAGGCAGGAGATGTGCACCCCTCCCCCAATCGCCGTCTTCCCAGGGGTCTCCGTGCCGGGACCACGCAAAGGAACGGAGGCCCAGCCGCCCCCAGCCTCAGAGCCCTGCGGTGTGGTGAGTGGCTGAGGAGCCGGGGGCGGGGAGTGGGGTGCCTGCGGACGGACGCTGGGCGGGGGGCCACTCCTGCTGGAACCTTCCGGAAGGAACGGGCGCCCTCGAGGCAATCGCTCTGTAATACAGCAAGCCCCACGCGGTGTGGCGTTGGCAGCAGGTGGCCCGCACTATGCCAGGGTCAAAGGGAGGCAGGCCCAGGTCCCCGTCACACCCCCCGTGCGGTGGTCACTGCAGAAACGGTCTGGGAGATGCCCCATCCTGAGGTCCCGACTGGCCCAAGGGACTTGGGGGCAGGGTCTGGGGGCTGCCACAGGGCACTCTGGGGTCCCCAGGCCTCAGCCCAGGTCTATCTCCTCGCTTGCCCTCCTCCCGGCACTGCAGGTGTGGAGTCCCCGTCCCCCTGGCCACCATGCCCAGCACCCACTGGTGGGGAGGGGGCCAGGACCTTCTGACCCTCCCCAGGGCCAGCAAGGGTGCCGGGAAGTGCTGGCTGGGGCGACAGAGCTGCGTGGTGGCATTAGGAGGGGTGGGGATGGGGGACGAGGGACTCGGGCTCCGTCCCTGCCTCTGCTCCCCGCTCAGCCCCTACACCCAGACTCGGGACCCCAGAGACCCCTCCCAGCCCCATGGAGAGCAGGGGCGGGGGGTCCGGGGCTTAGGATAGGGGGATCAGGCTAGCCTGTAGCCCTCTGCCCTGTGGCCGCTTGGCCCTGGGTTTGAGCCACCACTGGGCCCAGGGCTGCCTGACAGGCAGACCAGGAGTGGACGAGCCCCAGGATGAGCGGGGCCCAGAAACAGGGGGTCGCCTTGCTGGGTTTCCTCCCAGCTGGGGTCCCCACAGTGGGCATGACCTGCCCCTGGTCGGGCAGCAGAGGGAGGGTCCGCATGTCTCTGGGGGGGGGGTCTAATCAAGCTTCAGCCCCGACGGGAGGGGAAAGGGCAGGTGGGCGGCCCCAGGAGGCAAAGGGAGATGCAGCTGACCCCGTGGGGGGCGGGGATGAGGGGTCCCCAGGGTGCTGGCGCTGACCACAAGCTCTCTGGCCCTCCCGGCACCAGCCCCATCTCCACCCCGAGAAAAACCTCATGAGCTAGGGCCAGAGGGAGCCCGGCCGCACGGGTCCTGGACAGGCAGAAGGTCACCTCGTCCAGTCGGCACGCCCAGCCCTGGGGTCACTGCATGCCCAGTCCTGGTCACTGCATGCCCGGCCCCCGGACCACTGCCCGCCTAGTCCTGGTCACTGCACACTGGTCACACCCAGCCTTGTGGTCACTACAGCGCTCAGGGGCCCAAAACCAGACTCCCAAAGGCCCTGAGGTGAAAAACGGCCACATCCCTGGTCTCCCAGCCCGGCTGTCAGCCCGCACCCCCTCCGCACCCCGGCCGGCCCTGGGACCCCCAGAGAGGGGACAGCAGTGAGAACCGTGGGGGTGGCAGATGCTACCTGCTCTGAGCTCACCCCACCCAGGATCGGGTGCCCCTGGGGAGAGCCCCTTTCTGCCGAGACCCCGACTAGGCCTGGACAGGCCCCTGGAGTTGGGACACGGCCCAGGGACACGAGATGTGTGGCGTGTCCCGTGTAGCATGCAGTGGACGGGACTGCGGTCTGCAGCACAAGCGTGTAGCGTGTGGTGGATAACACAACATGTGTGACACAGCATGTCCCGTGTCACATGCAGTGTTCAGCGCTGCGTGGGATGCACGGGGGAACACGTGTGGAGTATGGATCACAAGCTGACCTGCAGACCCGTGTGTGTCCATGGCGTGGGTCCCCAGCTGTGTCTGAGCTGTGCTTTCATTTCTTTTTTTTTTTCTTTTTGGGTCACACTGGCGATGGTCAGGGGTTCCTCCTGGCTCTGCACTCAGGAATCACTCCTGGCGGTGCTCGGGGGACCCTATGGGATGCTGGGAATCGAACCCGGGTCGGCCACGTGCAAGGCCAACGCCCTCCCCGCTGTGCTATCACTCCAGCCCCATGAGCCGTGCTTTCAGGGGTTGGGGTTTGTTTTGTTTTTACTTTTTATTTTGGTGTTTGGGGTCACACCCGGCACTGCTCGGGGGTTCCTCCTGACTCTGCGCTCAGCGATCACTCCTGGCGGGGCGCGGGGGATTCGACGGGATGCCGGGGATCGAACCCGGGTCAGTCCCTGCAAGGTGAGCTCCCCACCCACTTGTCCTGCCACTCCAGCCCCAAGAACTGACGCTCTGTGACGCGTGTGTTGTGGGACAGAGAACACAGATGACGTGTGCAACGTGTGCAGTGCCTCTGTGCCGTGTGTGGCGTGCGGGGGGGGGAGGGGGCACGTGTCCTGGGTAACACGCGTGCTGTGACGTGTGTTCTGTGGAGCAGAGAACGTGGGAGGCGTGTGCAGTGTGTGAGAGGCACGTGTGTGGAGTGGGGCGCGGTATCAG